AAATTAATTTTTATAAATGAACATTACAAAATTTGGAATTCATAATGTTAAATCAAAATCAGTTCAAGGTCCAAGAGGAATTGGTTTTAAATTAACAGAAACTGGTGATTTTGATTTAGAAAATAAAAGATTAACAAATATTGGTTAAGCTAAATCTGAATCTGATGCTATAAATTTGAATAGTATGACGAAACTTTCTGAAGAATTAAGTAACTTACAACTCCGATTTCAAAATTTTGTTGCACAAATTGATAATCTTCAATTACAAAATGATGGATTGAGAACAGATATTAATAATATGTTTAAAAAATTAAACGAATTAAATCGAAAACTTTCTGATCTAGAGACTGAGTGTAAAGATCTTAATTCAGAAACTATTATAACATTAAGTTATAATATTAATTATCTATATAGACATCTTAATTTAGATCCTTTATCATAAAAAATATTTAGTTGAAAATCGAAGAATCTAAAGATTCTAAAGAATCTAAAGATTCTAAAGGATCGATTTACGTCTTCGAGATAATGGTTTTAATTAATATAACAGGAACTATATCAGATATTACAACTTATTTTCCTTCACCAATTAAGCTAAATGATTCTAAAATATGTCTATCAAGTGCAAGTATTTGGTATTCATGGCATAATTTTATAAATACTCAATTAAGATATTTCAACGGAGTTGAATGGATTATATTTAAATTTCCTGATGGTATGTATGATGATGAAGATATTATTTATGTTTTGAAAGAAGTTAAGATTCCGATTGAGTTAAAAGTTAATAAAATTATGTGTAGATTTGTTATTACTATTCCTGAAAATTATCAAATCGATTTTAGTTATTCAGATCTGTCAGAAATATTAGGTTTTAATAGGAATATTTTAAACAGTGGAACTTTTGTTGCACCCAATCAACCGGATATTACAAGAGGAGTTGATAGAATTTTTATTCATTGTTCAATTGTAAATGGTTCGTACACAGCTGTAAATTCTGACGGGTACGATTCTGTTGCTAAGAAATCTGACATTCTTGATAGTTTCGTTCCATATGTTGATACAGGAACTCTTATTGTTATTCAACCTCCATATCCAAGATATTTACCAACAAATGACGATACAATAAATAAAATTAGAATTCAGTTAACAGATCAAAAGAATAGACCAATAAATATTAATAACGAGACAGCGACATTTGAATTGGAAATTCTTTGAATTGTTTGTAAAACAAATTCTTTGAATTGTTTGTAAAACAAATTCTTTGAATTGTTTGTAAAACAAATTCTTCAAATCTAATTTTCACATTATGTTACTTCAAAATAAGAAACAATTATTCGTCAGACAATATGGTCATGGAATTGGTGATGTATTAAAAAATATAGCAAATAATAAATTTGTTCAATCAGGATTTAAGTCGTTATTGAAAGGTGGAAAATATTTATTGACTAATTTAATTACAAATTTAGTTAAAAATCCAGAGAAAATAGGAAATATTGAATGTTGAACGTATTAAAAGACAAATTCCAAATGTTATAAATAAGTTGTCAGAAACAAGTCAGAAAACATTGAATAATTTAATTAATAAAACATATCCGCCAATTAAAAGTGATATAACTGATTCGAGTAAAGATATATTAAATCAACTTTTATATGGCGAAGGTGTCAGACGAAGGGAGCGTCGTGAGTCCCATATGGGATATAAGCGCAAAACCATTAAATGATGATTCAATTCAGACATATGATTATTTTGAATTAAGGGAAAGCAATGTAAACGTCAAAACTTTAACCAAATTTGAATTTATTACAAAAGATACCGGAAATTATTTACTTCCAAGTCAAGCTTATATGCATATTAAAATAAAAATAATTGATTCATTAGAGGAGAATGTATCATTTGTGAATAATGGATTTAATATATTTTCAAGTTGTGAATATGAAATTGAGAAAGCAAAGATAGAAAATGTTGATCATGTTGGAATTACCACAACAATTCAAAATTTAGTTGATTATTCAGAAGATTATTCGAAAAGTACTGCATCGAATCAATTTTGGTTTCCCGATACAGCAGAAGGATGTGACTCTTCAAGATTTAAATATCATGGAGTTGAAGATACACTAGACACTTCAATTAAACTTAAAAATGTCATATCAAGGTCATATCAAGAGAAGAACATTAACAAGAAATTCGAAAATTGTTTCATTGTTTTTACCGTTAAAGAGATTATTTGGATTTCTTAAACAAGATAGAGTATTTATTGGTGTACAGCATACATTTAGATTTACTTTGAATAATGAAAATAATATGTTATTAAGTACTAATGGTGGGTTTAAAACTGAATTAAGTCATGCTTCAATATTTATACCTTATGTAATTCCATCACTAATGACTGGATTAATGTTGGAAAAGTTTTAAGTACCGATGCATCTGTTGAATTACTATGGGCTGCATTTAGAACATACAGATCTGATTTAAGAGATGACAAGGATTTTATTTGGAGAATTACAACAACTCAACACAATCCTGTAAGAGCTTTTATTGTATTTCAAGGAATAAGTAAAGAAAATAGTCAAAAACATAATAATATGATCTTTGATCATATGAATGTTTCACAGATTAGTATGAGTTTAAACGATAATTTAAGATTTCCTACTGAAGAATATGAATGTGATTTTAATGCTGATTCGTTAGATTATTGTAGAATTTATCAAAGTTTCTTATCAGCTGGATATAAAACTATTGATTTTGATACAGGAACAGTTGTAAGTTATTCAGATTTTATGAGATTATATCCTATATTCCATATTGATTTGAGTCGAAAACCAGAGAATTTATTTGAAAATAGAAGTACAATTGATTTAAGTTTAAAAGTTAGAATGAATAGTACTCCAACTGAAAAATATTATGTTTATTGTGTGTTGATTGGTGAAAGGAAAGCTATTATGACACCTTTAGGACAACGAACGATAATAAATATCATCTAAATAAAATGAACATCTATTTGTCAGAAGGACAAGTTAAGAAAATTAAATCAGCAATTAATAAGAATGAAAGTGTAAATCTTAGAATTGATGGTTCTAAACAACCGAACACTAAGTTACCCTTTATTCCAAAGATGAATGGAAATAAGATTATATTGAATAAAATACAATGTAAGCAAGTTGGAGGATTTTTACCGTTATTATTAGCCGCAGCACCTGTAATTGCTAAAGCTATTGGTGTTGGTGCAGCAGGTTATTTAGGTAATAAAGCGATGCAAAAGATAACTGGAAATGGTTTAAAGATCCCAGGTAAAACGATGGGTAATGGATTGAAAATTCCAGGCAAACAAAAAGGATCTGGTTTAAAGGTTCCAAGGTAATAAATAATAATCTTTAGATTTTTTAATGAAAATTAAATGTATTCAGATGAAATTGCAGAACTTCTTATAAGATAATTTACCTAAAAAACCAATTAAATCTGGAATTATAAATTTTGATTCATTTTTATCCAAAGGAACTCACTGGTGTTGTTATTTTGTTTCTGATAATGTAGAGTATTTTGATTCATTCGGTTGTCCACCACCAGAAGAAATTAAAACATTTTTATTAAAAAGTGGTAAAAAATTGATTTATAATTCATTTCAAATTCAGGAAATTAATTCATCAGATTGTGGATTATTATGTGTTATTTACATAAAGTGTAGGAATAAAGGACTTAAACCATTAGATATTTTATTAGAACTGAATGGAAGAAGAAACGAAGCTCAAAGTGAAACTCAAAGTGAAACTCAAAATGAGGTTCAAATCGGTGCGGGAATTATTAACGATTTTTATAAAAATCCAGCAACAGGTTATTCGAATGTTAATGAATTGTATAGAAAAATTAATCTGGTAGATGATTCAATCACATTAAATGATATTAAAAATTATTTAAGTAAACAAAACACTTATCAACTTCATAAACAAATTCGTCATAAATTTCCTACAAGAAAAGTTTATGTTCCAAAATCTAATGATCAATTGCAGGCAGATTTGGTGGATATGCAAGAATTGTCTGATAAAGGGTATAAATATATTTTGACATGTATTGATTGTTTTAATAAATATTGTTGGGGTATTGCTTTAAAAAATAAAACAAATAAAGAAGTTGTAAGAGGTTTTGCAACAATTTTAGATGATTGTTTTAAATATTACGCAAGTTACCCACTTAAAATACAAACAGACGCAGGTCTCGAATTAATTGGTAAACAAACCCAGGAATTGTTTACAAAACATGGAATTGAATGGTTTCAAACTTATAACGAGACTAAAGCACAGATTTGTGAACGATTTAATCGTACACTTAAAACTAAAATGTGGAAGTATTTTACTGAAGTTGGAAATAAAAAGTGGTTAAATATTTTACCATTATTAATTGAAAACTGTAGAAATTCATTTCATCGTAGTATTAAAATGACTCCGACTGAAGGGAGAAAGTTGGAAAACCAGGAGAAAGTTTATCAGAATTTATACGGTGAAATGCACGAGCATCAAAGGATAAATAAGTTCAAAGTTGGTGATCGTGTAAGAATTACTGTAAAAAGAAATGTATTCAGGAAAGGAAAGGGTGGAAGTGGTGAGTTTTTAATTTTTTTGATTTTTGGTGGAAGTTTGTTATTTAGGAGAAATGGGAGTTATTTTGGGTGGAATTGATGTGATTTTTAAAATGTTTGATGTGGTGGGCGGATTGTCCTGAGGTGTCAAAGTGGTATGGTTTTATCTAGTTTTATCTGGTTGGGGGTGGGGGGGGGCGGGTTGGGTTGAAGTGACCCACTTACTACTAGAATGCTTATGATTTGATTATGAATGCTTATGATTTGATTATGAATGCTTATGAGAATTGTGCGCATAAAGCAAAAAAAAACTAGAAAAAACTCATCGTGATATTACGATGCCTTGCTAAAAAGAAGCTTGCTACGAATAGCTTAAGTCGGATCACATTTTAATTAATAACAAGTTTAATAAATTTATGGATTAGTTTCAAACGTTAATTCATCAACGTTCAACGCGTGCATGACCACGTTAAGTCCGCCAAATACTGAACCAATTGCTATCATTGTTCTAATTGCGACTGGCATAACTCCACGAAAAAATCCCGGAATTCCGTCATTTTTATATATCGCGGTTACTATGGATCTAACAGTTTTAGGATGGGAGCCTTCAGCAGGAGCTACAAAGATTTGTTCATTGATTTACTAAAGACGTAATTATAAACGTTACATAAGTTTGTAATTTTAATGAAATTCCTACCCGTTTGTAAAATGGTTTTGACTCCATCTATCGGAAGAATTGCCGTCCACACTACGACGCTGGCAGACATTCAGGCAAGGAATGCTCGCTCCATGCTCATTACTCCGTTATCAGGTGTAATATGATAGTTAATTACACGAATTGTGGGGAAATAAATAGCCACCTGAGAGATGCCTGCGAAATTTTTAGACTTGTCGGTGTACTAGTTCTAAATTGCCTTTAGTGTAGTCGATACGATACTCACTAGGTATACTCGCGAGGTGTCGTCTGGACTTAGATATCCCACTATGTTTTTTATAATCTACTTAGGTCCCATATATAGGATCCAATCTTATTTCCATGTAAAATTCATATTTGGCGTCGTGGAGTGGCGCCAAGCTAAAAAAGATGGATTTTCGACCAATTTCAAACCTGTATAACTTTTTAAGTTTAAGCGGGATTTTCAAAATTTTAGGATCAAAATGATCACAAAAATCCGAATTTTACGAAATAAATGACAAAGGAAAATTTTTAATTTTTCAATAATTTTTAAGCTTTTTTCTCCCAATCGGGAAATTTTCGAAATTTTCGAAAATTATGAAAACAATAAATTTTTGTTCTTGCGTGAACATTTAACTATTTGTGATCATTTTTGTACTAAAATTTTGGAAATTTTGAAAATCTCAAAAGTTATGGCGATTTGAAAAGTAAAAACACGCAAATTTGGCGAATTTAGCGCCACTCCACGGCGGCAAATATGAATTTTACACGGAAATAAGATTGAATCCTTCATATGAGATAAGTTAATTCTAAAAAACATGGTGGGATAGGTCCAGACGACAGGTCGCGAGTATACCTAGTTAGTGCAAAACAAATGTGCAAATGCATTTCGTTTTTCGGGGTTAGTTTTTAGGATACAGCATCGACTGCACTTTTAGAATTAGACGACGGAATTTTAAAGTTAATAAAATTATAATTCAATCCGCAATCAAAGTGCTAACTACCTCGAAGATACGTCATCCAAAATCCTTTATAAAGATTGGAGATACCACCTTGAGCAATGAGTTTTTTAATACAGTCCATGGGGTCATTATAATTTTGTGGAGTTTCTGGGGTCTGACACTAAAATTTAAATCAATTAAATTCCAGCAAACAAATATTTAAATAAATATATAAATTTATTAAAACCATACTTGAATCAAACATTTGATTCTCTCTCTCCTGGAGTCAGAAGCATAGAAGAGATCAACACACCGAGACAAGCCTTGCTGCAGTGGTTTCTGTATCACTTAGTTGGGGATTTTTGGTTACTTTCTGCATCACAAGTTTGCCCATGTCAAAAACCAAGATACCACATGCAGACAATGGTGCTTGAGCCATTAGAAAAGGCGACATTCTTGATAAAAGATATCTCATTTTATGCTAGTAACATTTGACAAATATTAATTTCTTAATTATCGTCCATCAAATCCTAAACTGGCGAAAGTGCGGTCGCATGTCAATTTTGAATGGACCTAGGCGCACAAAAAAAACTAAAAAGGCGATTTAGCCCCAGCTCTAAGTAACAGTTTTTCTAGAATTTCTTTGGAGTTAAGTCTTTTTAAAATTAATACTCGACTTAAGTCTATTTAGATTTAATAGGGCTTGATAGCTATAAACCTCGAAACATGCCGAGAGGCCCTTCTTGTTTTAACGTCTTCACACAGCAGTCCCAAGATCCCTTGTAGATGGAAGGGAAAGCCGTTACTTGTCCCTTATACCCCATTACTTGCATTCTTGTCTGATAAATTTTTGTATTAATTTTGAATTTGGTTAAAATTGTTATAAACGAAACAATTACATACCTCAACCGTGTCCATAGGATGCATTAAGGCTACTTGAGCAACGCCTCCAAATAATGCGGCTGCCATCATCTTTAACTTACGATTCCTATCGGCAACCTGTCTAACCTCGATGTTTAAGTTGTGTTCCATCTTTTGGAATTTAATATTTAAATTGTAGATAATGCAAAAACTAATAAATATGAAAATGAAGTGTCAAATTAAATGGATAAAGTGTAACTAAACAATAGTAATGGTGTCGTGCTTGGTTTAAGTAGAACATAAATATCGCACCACCACCACTGATAAGGTACTTATCTAATGACAGATTATTAATTCAGAGAAGGACAAGGCGCTTTAAGGGTGGATTTTGGGCGAAGACTTTTTATTGTTTTATTTTGAAGGTTATAATAGGGTAAGAATAAATCACTATATATAAAAAACAAAGGCGTATTTAATACGTAAAAAATCACCTAACTCAGAATATATTTGATTTTTTATATAAAAAACTGTGGCACACATAACCCCAGATTTTATGGTATGTTGTAAGGGTAAAGTAGATATTTCAAAGAATGAAGTACAAACCCAAAATACGACGTTCGTGTATAACGTTTCGTCCAAAAATTCTAAATTTTCATGTCTTCAGCCACTATTTGCATGTATTTAATTTTTTATGTAAGAACCATGACACCCCCACCCACTAGTTTATTATTTGTGATGCCCTCATTTCATAGATATCTGCCCATGTCAAGAGTTGGACCGAAATCAATGAGTAAGATTCCATAAAAAATCAAAAACCCAGCAAGTTTTGCATTTTTTCTGAGAAAAGCTGATATTCAAGGCGACTTTTTTTAATGTCACATTTTCTTGAGTTCTTGTAATATTTTCTGTTCAGATGTAGGTTTCTGCATTTTTTCCTCAGGCATTTTTGCATAGTTTGTTTGGTTTTCAAGGTGCTGGCCTCCGAACGACAAAAAGCACGTGTTGGCAGAGCATTCGGTTTTGGCCCAAAAAAGTGGTTGGGTGTAGTTTTTTTCAAGCCTACCATAATGATATATTCTTACCCTATTATGACCTTCAAAATAAAACAATAAAAAGTCTTGGCCCAAAATTGACCCTTAATGCGCTTTGTCCTTCTCCTCAGATACGTAAGTCATATAATTCCCTTCATACAATAGCTTTAATTAAATAATATACGGCACGCTTAACATATTTTATCGGTTGTTTTTTATCGGAATGTTAATGGTCTCGTATAATTGATTAGTGCGTCAACAGTGTTAAGGTTTTTGATAAAAGCTATCATACTTTATTACTTAATTTGTCACTGTCAGTGTTATGCTTGACCTTCAAAAGTTCATGGACACAATGTATCACGGTTTAGATCTCGTGATGAATAAATATATACATATGAAAGTATTATGAGAAAAGTGGGTTCTAAAAAATTCAAGGAAAGTAGTGACTGTCCAGGAATCCTTATTTCGCACTTAAAATATATTTATTTAAGCCCAACAAACATAATACAAGTTCTCTCTCTCTCCATATCTCTAAGATTCTGTATTGCTCCCCAAAGACGGATGTCTTCTTTCTACACATCAGCGTCCGCATTTTTATATTGGTTCACCTACTCACTCTGGAAATTCAGAGTACCTCAAAGCCCATCGTTTTACTCAAACAACTTTACATGGTGACATAAATGGATAATATGTACATATTTATCAACTAAGTCAGAACAACTTCATATTGCAAAAAATAATACTTTCACACACCATGTCACCATCTCAACGTGTCAATGAAGTGTGTCAATTTAAATGAATAATTTGTAACTAACCCATGACGATGGTAAATATTATGCTCGGTTTAAGTCATAAGTATCGCACCACCACTGATAAGTGATCAGGCAAGTACTTGACTACTACCAGATTGTTATTTCGGAGAATTCTCCTCAGATATGCAAGTCACATAATTTTGTTAATATAATGGCTTTAATTTATTAGATACATATTATATGTAACATATACGGCAAACAAGCTTGACATCTTTTTTCGGTTGTTTTGAAATTCTAATGTTTTCATGAAATTGATTAATGCATCACAAGCGTTAAAATCTGTGATAAAAGTTATCGTGCCCAGTGATGCCGGTGAGATGAGACGACCTTGTCTTATGATGCGACGTGTTTGAGACGGGATGAGATGAGGTGGCCCCCAAACCAGATGAACTCATCTAAGACAGCTCATATCTCGTGAGATGAGATAGGGTAATGATGAAATGAGATAAGACATACCATAACCTAACCTAACCAGACAGTCTCATTTTAAAATATTATATGTAAGCTGAAAATCTAAATCTGGTGTATGTATTTCTACATACACGTCCACTGGTTGGGCGGTGGGGTTCATACAATGGTGTGGGACCATGGTGCAGAAAATACAAAATAGCCGTAGAAGGCTGAAATTTGGCATGAAGGTAGTTAATGGCTAGTAATGAAAGAATATGAAGTGAAATTTTAAAAAAATCCTCTGGAGGGACCTTAGTGGGTGACCCATACCGATTTTTTTAAATCTTTCAATCAAGCTGAAATTTGGTATTCATTTAAAACATGAAAATGAAGATGTAAAATAGTAATATGATGTCAAACTATGTACAGACATTATCAGTAATTGTTCAAGAATCCCTGGGTCGGGCTCGGCAAAGCTGCACTGTAGGTTTTTTAACCCTTGCTAAGCCAGCGCTACGTTATTTAACGATAGACTCTGCCGAGATGACAATCAACGAGCGAAAGAAATTATTTATTCTTTACTTTTCGAAATACGCAACCTTAGATTTCAATTATGTCAAAAAAATTTTGAAATTCAATTTCAAAGTATTGGAAAATAGATTTGAAATAAAAAAATGACAAACCTGGTTCACTTAACAGGGGCAGGATCAAATATTTTGTATTGTATTTAAATTTTTACGAATTAAAAAAGAATTGTTGGCAAACAATCTTTATTAATAAGTGAGAAATCAAAACAATAACACAATACGTGTAAACTAACGTCATTACCACACCATAGTTATGCTATAGGGAATGGGAGGAATGACCATGCAAAGGTTTCTACGAAAAGGTTTCTTTCTTTCACTTTATTGTGGAATTAGCACATCCGCCCATTTGATTGATGAAACTTTTCAGAAAAAGGTTATTTATTTCTGAGGAAAAAAGGAGTGTTAGGCCCACATACAGATACAACTTCGTCCGTTTCCCGTATCAAAATCCTTGTATCGAATTCTGCTCAATCCTGAATAATAATGTGATTGAGCGATGGAGTGTGAAAAATGATAAACACTCCAACGAAAGAATGATGGAGAGTGAAGTAGGATTTGACGAGTAGTGAAGGAAATGATGGGTGAAAGTGAATGAATGAAGGAATGAATGAATGATTTATTGATATATGGCCGTTGGCCCTCATCAAATTCAGATATAATGGTACAATTTTAAATTGTAGCTTCTGGGTGAAAGTAAATTGATGGAAATGATGGAAATGAAGGGGTGAAGGTAAGATTTGGTGGGGCAAAATGGATTTTTATGGGGCAGCGTGAGATTTTTCTGGGGCAGCGTGAGATTTTTCTGGGGCATTGTGAGATTTTTATGGGGCAAGGGGAAATTGATGGAAGGATCAAAGATTGAAGGAATGGAAAGAAGTGTATAAATGAAGGGCCTGATGAAAAAGAATACTGGAATGATAGAGGTTTTGTTATGAATGATGAGAGTGAAGGAGACTTCGCTCAAGTTAAAAATGAATAATGATAAGTGAAGAAAAATTTTGTTGCACAGGTATGATTGATAATCAACATGCTGGCGAGACTACAGCACCTATTTTGCGTGTATTTGTGCACAATAAAGTTACGGAGGAATTGTTGATGACTAAAACTTTCAACAATCTGCAAGACGTTTCTCTTGCTAAACCTAAATTTGATTATATTCACATTATTATTACAATTTTTATACCTGTCATTTAAGCACAAGATCCATGTAAATGCTTCACACACTGGTTCTTCCTAACATTCTAGTAATCTAAGGCGGAGGAGATTATTTCTTGTTCTTCTTTTCTTTTGGCTGCCTACATTTCCTACATTTTCTTGCAAGAAGGTACACTGTAAACTTAAATCGCGTAACCCAATTTCTCCACGGCATCTCCCTGCATAGCACTAATATTGTAATTCCTATTGTGCTAATCCATATATGAAAGAACGTCGCAATACTCATATTCAAACTTAGTGGTTTTAGTGAATTTGTTTTTTCCATATTCGATCTAATCTCATTTGTTAGCGTCATTCGCAATTTCAGTTGATTCTCGTTTCGCCGATATGCAATTTTAAAATGCTGGTAACACCCTGATTGTATATACCAAACAAAATATTTCATATATGGCGTATGTACAGTATGCATAAATCGCCATATCTCATTTTGCAACTTGATCGAGTTTTTGCTTACAAAGAAAGTAATCCAGTCATAGTACTTTCGCAAGTACCTTTGTTCCTCTTTAACATTAATGTCTGTGTCCATGTACACAAACTTCTTACATTTAACAAGCTCCCGTTCGATTAACGTCGCCATTGGAAAATATGATTCGTTCCCAAACTGTGGAATATTCTGGGTAAAAAATGTAAGCCAGCTCTCATCCGCAGTAGGGATCCACATCATTGCTTTATTATATAGGGTAAAAACAAGCGCCATCTCTCGATCAATGTGCCTATTACCGCTCAAATTCAAACATGTCGCAATGCCGTTACGAGCAGTTGGCCCCCAGCTTTCCAGGATTGTCAGCTTGACAAAGCTCGCGACACATTCCACAAAATTGTCGCTATCTCTGTTCAAAGTTTCGAACAACTCCAGTTGTACAGACGCTAGATAGCTCAATACGACGGCCCTAAGAGCACTAAACACTATGGCGTACGATCGCCATCCGTTCCCAGGAATGTTATTTTCGAAAAACGTCACCAGTCTCATTATTTGCATAGTATTTCCCATATTTCTATGCTCAAGGCTTGCAATTTTAAAGGTGTTCAAATCTGCAGCCGATGGATTATCCAGATTAAATACTACGTCTTTCAATGAGCTGCAATTCCAACCAAGTTGGGAGCAGTAAGGCAAAACCAGTGAGTCATATGTAGAGACCGAATTTAACGGTAATGGCGCAAGTAATAGACCAACAAGATAACTGTTGTACGTTTGCGAGAAGATGATGCATTGTAATAACCAAAATCCAAGTATCAACCGAACAGGAATCGATCTCTCCAACAACAAATGCATTTGTGTATACTTATCCAGTAAAACCGCGAAAAGGGACAAAGCAAAATAGAAGATACTGCGGTCAGCGGAAGGATACCTTACATATGCATAAGCAAAGAATAATGCTGCTAATGTAGAAATGCAAATGATTATGGAACTCCAAAGCATTGGTGTAAAAGCGTTGTGATACATTTCCCACGTGTACCGTTGTTCCGCCCAGCATGTCAAAAAATTGTACCGTATGTTATCGGATTGGACATATCCAGATGGAAAAGGATAGTACTGACGGTTTTCGTTCCTAGAATTTTTTTACGACAGGTATTTTGGTTGCAGTAGATATGATAACACTGTTTATTAACTTACCAATCCTTAAATTCGTTGGTGAGCTGGATTCTTGGAGCATATCGAGTATAATAGGCGTGCTCGACCAATGTTACGTTTTTTGAACAATACAAGTGATATGTTACAGATAGAGCAAAATATGCTTTGTACGATGATCTAGGTATTGAACAACGCACTGCTAGATCATCTTGTTCAACTTGTAGTTTTTGAATTGGCAAATCTTTATTAGCACTGATTGTTAGGCTCAAGTCGTCACGCATTATTGGAATCGCAATAATTGGAGTTTCGAGCATTGCGCAAACCCTGTAGATCTCAACGGAATTGCAAACCCAGACGAAGTAATATGTTAGATAAAACTTCAAGAAAATATGCCACTGGTCGATGGGATAATTAATTTTTTCCAACTGAAGGTCGGAACTATCAAACCAATCAATTTGTTGAAAAACTGTAATTCTGTCTTCTAACCAAATATACCTTGTCGACTCGTATTTAGTGTTCAGGTCGACTTTAATTAAGCGTTGCACGCTTTCCATAATCAAGCTTTGATAGGTTATATTATAACTTGACTTACTAAAACTCAATATGTCTTGTTTGTTGTTAGTTACGAAAACAAAAATACAGAATAACCTACCATTCGCCACCTTAGATTTCATGACGTCCAATTCCAGTTCTGACTCCACACTCAAATTATCTAAATTTCTATGACGGATAGTAATCGTTGTCATCCCAATTTGATGTAGGCCTGCCTCCTTGCATCCCCTAGTGTTGGTTATGGCGTGAAAGTGACAATTCTGGACTTCATTTAATTCCTTAATCCAGGACATTTGTGCGTAGCTCCGATCACAGCAAGTTCGCTCTATATCTGCTCTAGTGTACTGTGAAATACTAAAAATATGATGCAGAAGTATTCGAAAAAACATCAGCTTTCTGAAAGGAGCCATTTCAGAACTCAATAAGACCAAAATTTGAATTCAAAATATATGCCTAAACCCCCAGTTTAGGCTAGTTTCAATTCATAAAGTGTAACTCAGCTCGTTCCTGTATGTATGTAAGTTACAATTTATGTAATTAATCAGCTATGTACAACCGATTAATTACATAAAGTGGTTGGAATGTTCTGGCTTATATAAATACGAATATAGCTTGGTACTGTCACGCTAGCTTTTGTGCAAGTAGGGCAAACGCTGGTCGACTTTTAAAAATGCCGTATGTAAACTTATGACTTCGCCAAGTAGCTGGAAAAAATTGAGTTTTGACTAAGATTAATTATGCACGAGGTAAGGAATGTCAAGGACAACAATAATTAGATACATGAAAATATTCAGAGCTTATTTGGAAAAACATATTCGAGGATGCATACGCTTTACGTATGGCAACGTCATATAAAGAAAACTGTTGAAAATGGTGTCAGAGCATTAGAAAATCGATGACTTAGCTTTAAGGTACGGATTTCGGCGGAACGGAGCGGAACAGAATATATTCCGTGGGAACGAGATTTTAATTTATTCCGCACGAAGCGGAATATGCGGATTTTTAACGTCGTTCCGTTCCGAATGAATATTCCGGCGGAATGCGGAATTCCGTGCGGAACGGACCAAAACGCATAACAAATTGTAATAATAATACATAGATATATATGTATTAGGGCTGGAAAATCCGGTTTTTTCGAATTCGAAGAATCCGAAATCCGGATTTGATACATGAGAATCCGGATTTAGATATCAAAGCATAGTATTTTTCCTTCATTCACACACACACATGTAAAATATTGAGAAAGGCGCGGATGTTTTAACATTATTTGTGTACATACAACACTTTCACATTCCTCATTCCGAGCAAGAATCGAATTACTAGCGTTGCAACTTATTAATTTTGAAATGGCTACCCCACTTGTTTCTCCTGGTCATTCCAAACTTGAGTTCCAGGAGTTTGGCAAGAAAAAGGATGACACATCATCCGTGTGGTTTTTTTTTGCGTGAACAAAAGGGTCAACATGCACGGTACAAGGATTGAAAATGGTTTTAAAAACTGGAGGAAGTACGTCAAGTCTACACACGCATCTGAAAACAAGGCACAAAATATTCAAAGCGACCTAACCTATGAAAAATTATATGTTCATCTCAGTGATAAAATTATTTGGTAATGATTTCCTCACAGTCCGGTAGTGATTTGTTGCTCAGCTTTTTTCACTTTTCATTAGCATTACGTAACATTCTAACCCCGCAACGATTTTGAACCATGTTTGGAAATTTCTTAGAAACCACTGCAACAAGTTAGGCGTCCATAAATACATATTTATATGAAAAGCGATTAATTAGTGGAAAAGATTATTGAGGTTGAGGTCAAAAATCCCTAGAGGTGGCTGCAAATTAGTTTAAAAATTTCGCCACGCGGTTAAATACGCTCATTCGAGCAAATTCAAGAACAATTGTTGGCAAGGGTGACCAAGACTATAAATAAGAATTGGTCCCATCGAAATCTGAGTGGGACTGCCAAGAACCTCTCATTGTAAGTACAGGAGCTCATCCATTTAGAAATTTTTCATTATCATGACATCGTCAATATGTGTATGGAGTTGCTAAAAGTGGCATTACTTTGCAGCCACCCTCTACATATTTACAATCAAAATAAATATAATTTCCAGCCTTGAAAATCATTTTAAACATTGTCTAGATAGATAGGTGCATATGTTAAGGCACATCTGGTAAATGGATTATTAATGTTGGTATTATTTACAGCAAAATAGGAAATCCCTCAAATTGCCACCATACATACGTACATATTTTGAAACATATTTCATACAAGTCAAACACAATTGTGGCAAATATTTATGTATTACTCTTTCTACCAAAATTACATACCTCTAACTGAGTACAAATTGTATCAAGTCAAAACCAAACCAATTTTGTGATCCGTGTGCAAATATTTGCACATAAATCCATCCATGTGGTCACCTTGTGTGTATTTCTTCATTCTTTTTGCTTGAAGACAAGTTTATGTGTCTATTTACTAATATGCTAATATTTGCACAAAATTGTTGGTAAAAAGTTCCATTATTTGAGTTCGAATAGTTATGTATTTAAAATTAATTCTCTTGTTAATGCAAATCTAATAAATCCACCTGTCCCATTTGTCGTAACGCACCACATTCGTGATTCATAATATCTGTGTATGTGCAATCGGGTTATTAAATAGAATTAATTACCAAGAAGCTATCGGTCTTTATTTCCTGACATAATAAATAGGAATCAGAAATTCTTGACTTCATAAGAGTTATTTTTATTCTTACAGCGTATTTAAGCATAAGTCTACATTTTTATGAACTGTAAACTCCATACCCTTGAGAGAATGAAAAGAAGCCACTCGAAAGACAATAACTGATTTTTTCTCCAAGAACGAATCTCAATGTAAATTTAATTGAATTTCTTTTAAAAATAAATTCTATGTAATTCTGCAACGCTGTATACATAGATTTGGTCGGGATTAGGTACACATATAAGTATTTAAAGACAAGCCAACTTTTTCCCTGCTTCAACTTTATTTATAGTTAATGCAATCTTGACCCGAAAAATGGGTGGACAATGAGCAAATGAGGAAAGCTAATGGACAATTCATGTTCTTCAATAAATTCATCCAGCTCGTCCAAAGTTTCCTCCTCCATCTGCACATTTATATATTTACATACACAAATTAGCGGGATAAAAATTTCCACATTTCACAACTGCAGAGAAATTTTAATCAATTTCCCTCCTCCAATATTAATTAATACCGAAATGTATCAAATGTGTATGTAAAAAAAAATATACTTGAAATTGATCCAAAATCATTTTTCGAATATTCCTGCAGGACAGCATAGCGTGGCGCATCTTGTCCGAAAAGTCAAACTCCGCGGCAGTGTAACCGCCAACAAATTTCAGGCTTGTCTTCGCCAAACCTGAAAATATTGATGTATGTAAGCATGTAAATATATACTCCTCAAATTTATTAACAATCCGAAGGCAACCCATGTTTAACCCAGACCTTTTTCTGGCCACCATAATTCCATAGATCATCTCTTCAGAAACAACTTTTATGGTTCAGTACTTGGGCGGATACGTAAAATTTAGCGTCTGGATGGGTGCTCAAAGTTTTCCAGCCAGAAAACGAGTTTTGAACTTTTTTCTGAGAGACTCAACTTTTTTCACGAACTTCAAAAGTCGCTTAACTTTGCACAAGTGCGGAGCATACATACACACGTTATTTTTGAAGTGTTGGTCTATAAAACTATGGTGGTTATAAAAAAATCTGGGCTGAACATGGTTTGTCTTCACACTGTGGGCAAAAAAAATATTGTAAATTATTTCCAACCCCTCCATCCAGATATTCCTTCCAAAATGGCAATCACACCGTCGGAATCAAACCCTCCATTCGAACGCATTCCGGCATAGATGTAACAATGATGAGCCACCTTGACCTCCCCGGAGGACAAGTCCCAGCCACCAAACGTCTCCACGGTTTCCTTCAAAGCGACGTAATCCATCTCCACAATTTTGTCAAACTCCACCATTAAATCCAACTCCAATTTCGCCACGGTTGGGAAGAGGTTCACGAATTTGGCCGCAACAGCTTGTCCCTCCTGCCTCGCGTCCTTGGCATGATGGGTGCAACGAACGTGGAGAGACGTTATCCCGCTGTGCCGCATGCCACCGGTAACGGAAAACTTGCAAAAAAGGGAATAATCCAAGGACAAATGGGCCAATTTTGGAAGACTGGAGATGTTCAATGAGTCCTCAATTTTATACGCATCCGTAACATCAATGGTTAAGTGGGTGAGGTTGGGCAAGTCAAAACGTAGCTTAAAAAAACCAAAGTTTCATTATTAGAAGGAATTGGAAATAAAACCTATGATGAACTTTTAAACAGGGGTGAAACCAATTGCATTCGTAGTAACCATTCTTATTTTCATTTTTTACATATTTAACCCAGCCTGATATTTTTTGGGTTGATCCGTTAAGAATTGACTTGGTTGTAACTTCGTCGCAAAATTTAATTTCTGCGTGAAAGATATAAAATTTGTTACCTAAGAAATTAGGGTCATTTCATTTTTAATGCTTGAAAAGTTATCGGAGACACAAATTTATGTATGATCGTATGCTTAAACTTGGCCTGAGAAAAGGCGCAATATCCATTCTACGCAATCGACGCATGGAAAGATCACATGTATTTATTTGTCATGGTAAAAATTCATAAATCTGACAAAACCCAAATGCTGGCCGATTTGGAGGATCCTATATTAAATTCTCCTCATGAAGTGTTGGGAACGAAATACTACAATAGATGTACCTGACAACGCAAAAAATTTGAGCATCGTGGGCATTGTGGTTGAAAAGTAATATGCGGTCAAAAAAAGTGTTGACTTGTTTTTTTGCATGACAATTCTTCGCCTCGCAGAGCATTTTTTTGTGAGGACTGTGTGAAATTAAGTTCGCTTAGATAGGCAGGACCACCTATCTTATAGTCCAACCGTAACCCCTAGCGATTATTACTTTCATAAAATACCGAAATCAGAAACCAGGGAGGAAAGATAGTCGTAAATACATAAATGAAATCAAATACATAGTAAATTATAGAGCATTTTCTAAATTAATTTTGCGGAAGTACTGTGCACTAAATTCTTGATGGATCGACCCGAAAAAAATCCCAGTCTCCTAAATATGTTGCAATTCAATAACAATATTGACAGTTTGGTGCAAATCAATGAGTAAAATACCTTTTCTAAAATTTAAGGGGACAACCCTCGTATATAAAATACAGTAAATATCAAGCCCAGCTTTGAGCTGATTTCACTTCTTGGATACAGAGATCGAGGTAACAAAATTCTTCTGTATGTACAAAACTTGTCGAGCCAATGGACATTAACACGATGCTTTTATGCCCAAACTGGTTTCACCCTACAAATTTTTAAATACAGGGTGTTTTTTAAGTCACGCTACAATGGAAAATTTTTCGATAGGAAAATTTAGTATATTTCCATTAGTTACCCCAGAGTCTTGCCCCTGAAAAGACACATTTATTCGTGTTAAAGAACAAAATGTAAGACATAAGACAAAAATTTTCCGTGTCAATTAAAACAGTTTTTTGGGCAAAACTTTTGTAACTAATGGAAATTTACTAAATTTTCCTCTAGAAAAATTTCCAATGTAGCGTGACTTAAAAAACACCCTGTATGTAACCTTACCTTGACTACATCAGAATTTTTGTTCTTGAACCTCACGCACAAATTTTCTAAACTATCCCGACAATTGTTCAGCATTCTGGTGAATTCATTCATGTCTGGTGTTACAATGGAAAAAGGGTCGTGATACATTTCATACTCATACGTCAACTTTTTCAAGTATTTACACGGTGTCAAATCAGGGTAGAAATTCGCTTCCATGTTCAATTCCTCCAAGTTGGGGGAAGCATTGAGTTGCCGTTGGAAAATGGGGGCATAGTTGGACGAGAATTGTTCCCAGGCTGGATTTATCTTCAAGCGGAGCAACTTCAGATTTGGAAGTGGTCGAAATTCACGAATTTCCACCTCCTCTTCCGGTCTCACGATGTCTTTTTCATTCTTCAGAACCAGTATATTCGCAATGATGGAAATGTGTGTCAGATTTGGGAAATCATACGTGTTCCACATTTGATCCAGATGGGGATGCAACACCTGCAGTGTTACCTGCAGGGTGTCCATTACGCTGTAAATCTCAGGCAAACATTGCATGGAATTGGGGGGAAGATAGTGGTAGGATTGGACCTCTTGAAGGGAGCATATACACGTGGACGAATGGTCGCGACAAATTGTCAGCGCCACGTTCTTTGCCAAATTCTTGTTGAAAGACAGCAGTTCTTTTGAAGCTATGTCGGGATCAGTGGAGAAGGAGATGCTGCCCTGCTCGTCTAGAAACTTGGCGCCAAGTTCCGCCCAAACCGAGCACACGAGTCGAGCCGACTTTAGTCCGGTTAGATAGGTCGTGTTCAACGTGGAGAATATTTTGTTCAGGATCTGATACACGAAAGGACAAGAATGGAACATAAATAATTTGTTAATTTGTGCATATGGGAATATATTTACTCAGTGTGTGGCATATAAATTTAAAATGATGTATGTAAAATCAAAATTTCCAAATGTCTAGATATTTACCTACATGTGTAATCATGAGTGCGTAAATACGTGATATTAATTACTATGTGTATGTATTAATTGAAGAATTAACTTACGAGGGGGTTCATCAGGACTTTTATGGAAACGTTGTCCATTTCTGCGACAAGGTCCCCAATCTCCATTTTTCTCGTCAATTGATCGATCTGGGACTCCATCGAGATGTTAAAAAACAGAAGTCTTGAGTTTCTGACAAATTATGCTGTGAAATTTTATCAGTTTGCAAGTACTCGATCTGTTTCTTCCACTCAGAATAATTCAAATTCAACAAAGTAGTCGTTATTCCCGTATACGTCTGTGGGCACGATTCGTCAACTGGATAAGTGCTATTGGCATGCCACGAGATGTGTCAACGCTTACATACACACATCGACAATCTCTTGGGATTGCTGGTTACTTGCACATATTTATCGACGTATGTATTCCAAAGGTTGAGCTCCTTATCATCATTACAAATCACGTAAATACGTATGTGGGTAAAATCCACTGCTGATTAGATTACATTAATTGGGCTTCCATATAAAATATAGGTTACATTCATATCTTTTGTAGTAGAAGGTTGTGTAATCTTTTATATGTGCCATTATCGATTTTCCAAAAATTGAATACGATGCGCACTTCCCCCCTGGTGGTCTGTACGAATGTACACATTATCGATTTTTAATTAATTGCATGAAATATGTATGTACATACATATGTATGTACGCACATAAAAAATAATAATGTCTATGCTCGGTAACGTACGAATCTTAGCATGTATTTATAAGATTAATATGTACTGAAGATGGTAATGAGAATATTTTTATTCGCGTCAAAATATGTATGCAAATAAATCCAAGGGCAAGTTGACACGAGATTCAATATGCAGTGCATATGATTTATATGAGTGCGTGCTATGAATGAAAATAGTTTATTCACGTCAAATTTGTAAACTTGGCGAAAGTTGATTGGAATTGTATCATCCATGGCATTGGTAAGCTACGATTCGATTCTCCATTTTCTCTCCCCCTAAAATGTGTATGCTGTGCAAGATATGCATGTATGAACATATATATATGTACTACAGCATGGCAAGATGTAGAGCAGTTAGTTGAGAAGGGGGAATGATTCTTTGCATACATGCATGAAGCTACGGGAGTGTGTGCTGGTGAGCATTAAGAGAAACGAAAATGCTGTGGTATGCATATGTATCTCCTTAACTGATCCGCAATGGAAATAACTTAATGCACATTGAAGCGTGTAAGAGATGAGCATGTATCTAGTTAAAAATGGCTACCAGTTTGCATTTGTGCATAAAAATAAATGTCCTGTATAAATTATAAATTGTATATTTGTTTAACTTGGAAACTTTGGAAACTCTGCGAATCGTAGAGTTTCCATTGTTCGCAATACAAAAGTAAATAAATATTGAAAAGCTGACCACGCAAGAGTCGTATATTTAGAGACCTAACCTTAAAAAACCTAAAAAATCGGATCACACATGTATGATTGCATCTTGCTCAATTAGTTATTGCAACTAATTCCAACATTAATAGAAGAGAAAACTGCCACCAACATGATCCGCAACAGAATGCACAATTAAAGAAAATTGTCCCTCGTGTGTTTCTGGTCGACAGTGCGTGTATGTAAATGTAAAATCAACGGGGGTGAAATCGTGTATTAATCCCAGAGACTGGGATGCATCGGAAATAAAATGTACTTGGAGAGACGAGACAGATTGTTCCAGGCTACATATATTTGGTTTATATATTACTATTTTTTATCATGAATTGTATAAGCCGCATACATAACATGCACCGTATCTTTCCTTCCATCAACAATCTGGTCCACAAATATCAGTATATAGTAGTAGCTAAATATATTAAATCCAAATGTAAATTTATCTTCACAACAGAAGACAACAGTAGAGAGAACAAAAGAGAAGAAGAATTGCATACAGTAGAAAAGAGTGCACTGCGGAAGGTTCTACTTGACGATAGATCCAAGTTTCAGATGATTATTCGCTTTACGATGGAAAGATTATTGACTGAGGTTTTGATTTGTGTAATTCACCAATAACCATGCTGTGGCGTGGACCACTATCTGATGACGGTCACGCCACCACTAGTCAGTCACAACAACAACAGCAGCAGCAGTAATGTGAGAAAGTTGCTAAAAAGAAAATTAGCAAATTAATGGGAAATCGAAACGAGAAGTGAATCTTATTGGGGGTGGTGTTTGAGATGATTCTCACATTCCGTCTTCCTCCTCTCCTTCCTTCTCCTCCATGACGAGCAACTTGTGTGAATCAGAGCAGAAATGGACCTCGTTCGACACAAAATATACATTAGCATGATCAAGATGGAGGAGGATACAGCTGTGATTAAACGGACGTACTTGGATCCTTCCTTGCCAGGCAGTCTCTCGTCTGTAAATGTGTATCTCAGAAATAATAGAAATTATAAGAACGCATCATTTGTTCGTGAGACAATTAAAAGACTATCCACATACAGTGTCCACATACAGAAAACTCATAGCAAAGGGAAATTGGGACGTAAGGTAGCTCCAGTTTGGCAGGAGGATATTCTAGCTGCTGACTTGGCTGCCGTGGCAATTTGGTCACCTAATTTGGTCACCCAATTTGGTCAACCTAACCTTACGCAAACCAGAGGACAAAATTTTTGCTAATAATAGTCTGTTTGTTGAACAAGCTTTTGAGAATTTATCCTCTCAAGAATAAGAAATCGATTACTTTAGCCATGGAGCTTGAGCAACATTTGGAGTAAAACAAGAAGCACTGGGGGTGTAAACTGTGGGTGGTCAATCTGTCTCTTGATTCCACCGCTGTTTATGTACAAATTGACTCTGCTGGCATAAGATTTGTGCTGCCAAAAGAAATTAATATATACTCTGGGGGCTAGCAGAAGACTATCGTTTTGAGAAGACTACAAAGATTGACCAACCAAGAGGGGATAGTGTTACATTGCCAGATACTCGTGCGCCTACTGCAATCCCTGCGATATCTGAGGTCATTCATGTATTGTGTAGTATTGTGCAGCGTACTCAATTTGACAACAGAGGGGTTAAGAAGTTTTCCTCGTGAATCCGGTACTTCCTCACCTCATCATTACATCTTCCCCTCAGTCTATTATAAGCCGTTGACTCCCAAACAACACCCAAAAATAAGAATTCAGTTGGTTAATAAGGATTTTTCTCCAATTCCCTTTTGTGACTATCTTACTTTGGCTGTATTGCATTTCAAAAGACAAACTTACAAATGGCAGAGATGTGTACAGCAGTTGAAGCCCCCACAGATAAGCTTGTTAGTAGCAGCTGTAGCAGTAGCAGCAGTGATTGTGAAAGTGGCACAGAACTAGGCGATACTCAAATGATGGACATGGTAGTGCTGGACAGGAGAAAGGTAGTCAGGAAAGGAGGAGGGTAATAATTTGTGACATTGACGGTGATGGCAAAGCAGATGAAGTGTGTAGTTTTGCAGTAAAAGAGAAAGCACAGAGACAAGTTGGAGGCGGTCTTGGTGAAGAGTATTTTGGTGATAATGATAATTACTTCATCCCTCTTGACGGAAAAGGTATGACGAGTCCAATCAGGGGAATGGTTAAAAAACGATCAATTGCTTCACCAAATAAGCGCAAGCAACAAAGGGTGGGTCGCGGCCAAGTGAGCGGTGGAAGCACCAGAAAGGCAAGTACAGTAAAAGGATAGAAAAATGACTGTAGTTCACAAGCTCCCAATCTTGTAGGAGGTTGGTCGTTGCAAAGGGATTAAAAAGAAGAATACAATTCGATCATTCGAAGGAGGGAGAGGTAGGAAGAAGGTAGTCCAGCAGCGTAAAAGTGAGACTGCAAAGAAAGCGTCTAAGGACATGGAAGGGATTAGTTAAATATGGGAGGTAGACCAATTAACGGCTACCGTCAAGGCCAGTAATGCTTTAAACAGAATTTAGACCCGTTTAATTTACCATCTACAAACTCTGGTATAGTTTCGTCTAATGTTACAACAATTCGGCCAGCTACTACATTTAAGGATAGATTTTCTCCCATTTATTTCTCGTTGAACACTCCGAGTGAGTACCTTGATCTGAGTTCATGCTTTGTGTATTTTGAATGTAACGTAAAGAACATTGATAAAGGAGCACTAACTGCCACCGATGATTTAGCTATCACTTCCAATATTGGAGCTGCATTCATTGAAAATGTTGATATACTACTAAATAACACCCCAATTCTTCGCCCGTCACTCTTGCCATACATCTCCTAAAAACATGAATATTTTTGTTCATATGGAAATAGTTTATCATCTTACGGAATAGTACCCCCAACACGTGTTAGCGTTGTGGATGAGAGTTTACCTTTACAATCGGATCATGCCATGACTTGTGGGGCTTATGCAATTTGTTTACTTGTACCTTTATCTCGAGGATACAGTTCAATATCTGTTTAGTAATAAATATCATTAGTAATAAATTACAAAACGATGGTCGAGGTGTAAAATTTCTGGAAGACAAGCTAATGGAATTGTGTGTTGTGGCAACAGTAGAAACAGTAGTGGGCAGCGTTTATTTATTTATCACGAATTATTAACTTCTGTAATTTTGGATGAATGCTGGCTAACAGTGGCTAACAATGCATAGGTGCATAGTTTTTACGATCCTGAATAATTAAATTCCTTGCAAAATTAACTTTCTTTTACTTGTCGACACTTCTCTATTATCGATTAAAATCAAATCCTTCCCTTTGATCGATACATGTATGTAAATATTTTATAATCAGGATTACGTAATATTACGTAACCAACGGAGAAGAACTTTCTCTTGGGATGAACACTTATTTGCAAGTTGAAAAATGGTTGCGAGGTAAATACGTTGTAAAATAACACTTTATGCAAATTTAAGCCTAAAGGTACATATGTTCTAAAATATTCTATGTACATATGTACATTTAAGTGAGACTTCCTACGTGTAATCTTGAATTATGGATTAATCACTGGTAATTCCTTATTTCATGAATGCTTAGTCATAATCAGTGGTTAATCACACACCAAGGAATTTTGAAATACATGATTTTAAATTCGGGTTCATTGCCAAAAAGTGTGAATCTAGTAGTTAAGACATAATTTCGTACTTCCGATTTAATCTGTAATCTCCAATATAAATATTCACTGCCGGGATTACAAAATTAATCAAAATCCTTAATATTTATTTTCCTAATCCTCATTTCTTAACTCTTAACTAACGATTCATAACTACATTTTCCTTCCAAAACAGAAAACCTGATCGTCCCAGTTACAAGGACAGACCCAATCTGGCATCGTGACTTGGTCGGATTAATCTTCAACGGCATGGCCACCTCCTTGCTATCCTTCAT